TTTCCACCCCCACACCTCCGAGCCGGCCCATGGAGCCTCGGGGGGCCCTGAGAAAGGGAAAAAAGTTTGAGACTTACATAGCCGAACTTTAGCAGGGTACTCGCCCTCCACTTCTCCCGCATCCTCAAGCTTTTTTTTTGTAAAAAAAAGATAGGTTTCGCCCGTGCATTTTTCCCGTGGTCTCAATCAGATTACGTAAAAACAGTTTCCACTCCCTCTGTTGCGACCATGACGGAGTCTTGCAGGGGCGCGTTTTTCACAAACTGGATCTCGACGGTATAACTGGTGCGCTTTAGGAGGGCAAACAAAGGGAAAAAACCCCGTTTGTCCCCACGTGGGGGCCTTTTCGGTACTCGTCATCCAAAAAAACGGGTTATGAATGCCCCTATCTTTCCAAACCCTTCGTGGATGAGATTTTCCGGGGATATGCAGGGGCAGGGGTGGTCGTGTACTTTGATGACATTCTAGTGACTCGTCTACCCGAGCGAGTATAGCCCTGTGCGTCGTGTTTGGGAGGAGGCTTTTTGGGCACGCCTGTTGTAAAAGGCAGAGAAATGTCTGTTTTTCCAGGATCGTTCTCCTTTTTTTGGGGGTTTTTGTTTGCCGCGTCGGGGGGAGAAGGGGAGGTGGACCGTGTGCACCCTGGGGTAATTGGAAAAACCCCAACCACTGTCAAAGAGGGCAGCAGTTTTTGGGTTTTGCGAATTAAACCCGGGAGGTTTTTGGGGGGTTTTGGACAGGTGCAGCCCCACACGTCCCTTCTAAAGGGGGTCCGGTGCGCCTGCATGGTCAGCTGGGGCGGACAGGGCCTTGGGGATAAAGGACCTGTTCGTCGGCTCCGGTGCTGGGGCTCCGGGTCCCCCCTTCCCTTCAGGTCAGGTGGGCGCGTCTGAGGCGGTATCGGGGCCGTACTCTCTTTCAACGGTCCGGCCCCAACAAATCCCCCTTTGCTTTTTTAAAATCTAAAAACTCAGCCCCCGGGGGGCGTAATTAGACGTCGGGGGCAGGGAGCGTTAGCTGTAGTTTGGCCCTTTAAGGTTGGGGGGCAAATTGGCTTTAGGGGGCCCCCAAAAACCCTTTTCCTCTTTTTACTGCCACAAACCGGAGTACTCCGGGGGAGCGGGAAAACTGAACCCCGCCACTCGATGGGGTATGTTTCTCGCCAGGTTCTATTTAAAAACACGTCAAAACCCCGGGGCCCGAACGGTAAGGCAGATGCGCTGTCCCCGGGGGTAAAAACCGGAGGAGAGGTCCGTGACCTACCCCATATACCGGGGTCTTATCTGGGCACCGGTTGGTGGGGGGTCGATCTGAAATCAGCGGGCGTTGCGTGCCGCCCTAGCCCTCCACATGTCCTGTGGGTCGGAAGTACTTCCCTCGGGTTTGGATCGACCGTTTTCTGGGCCACACTCCCCCCCCTCGGGGCTCCGGGGATTGGCCGGACATGCATTTCTGCACTAATACTGGGGGCCCAGTTTGCCAGGGAGTGGGGGTTTTTGTCCCTCCTCTCGGGGTGCGCCCGTTAAGGGCCCAGACCCTGCCCAGGGGAAATTACAACCCCCCCCGTTCCACAACGACTGGCCCCCTTCCCTGGATTTTGTGACAACCTTCCCCTCTCTCAGGGGGGAAAACCACCATCCTGGGCCCCTTGTTTACCGGGTTTTTCTAGGGCCCTTTGTCTTCCCCAGTCGGGGCTTCCCACTGCCCTACAACCGCAGAGGCACTATTTCCCCCCGGCATTACGGGGGACCCAGGATATATGTCCCCATCGGGCCCCCAGTTTACCCCCCCCCCGATTTTGGAGAGCGCTGGAGCGTTTGGGGGGCTCGGGGAGGGCCTTACCCCGGGTACCACCCGGGGACAATGGGCAGGTAGAACGCAACCCGGATGTGGGGAGGGTTTTTTTAGGTCGTTTGCCAACCCGGCCGGGGGAAATGGGCTCGGTATATTCCCCGGCCGAGATGGCCGAAAACCCCCCTCTCCGCCACTCCTCTACCAACCTAACCCCCTTCCAATGTGTGTTAGGTTACCAGCCGGTTCTGGCACCTTGGCAGCAGAGCCAGATCGAGGCCCCTGCGGTGGATGATTGGATGAGGCGCTCGGAGGAGACGTGGAACGCTGCACACGTCCACCTGCAGCGGGCCATCCGTCGACACAAGGCGAGCGCCGATCTCCACCGCAGTGAGGGGCCGGTGTACGCACCCGGAGATCGAGTCTGTCTCTCAACCAAAAACCCCCTGCCTGCCCTGCCGGAAGCTGGGTCGGCGGTTTGTGGGGCCTTTTAAAGTCCTGAGAAGACTGAACGAGGTGTGTTATAGGTTACATCTGCCTATTGAATATAAGAATATAACCCCTCGTTCCATGTGTCTCTTCTCAGGCCGGTGGTAGCTGGTCCACTCCAGGAAGGTGAGATAGGAGAGACTCCTCCGCCCCCACTGGACATCGAGGGGGCTCCGGCGTACACCGTTCGGTCCATCTTGGACTCAAGACGTCGGATGGGGGGTCTCCAGTATCTCGTGGAGTGGGAGGGGTACGGCCCGGAGGAGCGGTGCTGGGTGCCGTGGAGGGACATCCTAACCCGTCTCTCCTGTCGGAGTTCCACCGGGGCCATCCCACGCGCCCTGCTCCGCTCCTCCTGGTCGTTCCCCGAGGCCGGGGTCGGAGAGCTGGAGCCCGCGCGTCAAGGGGGGTTACTGTCACGGTTTTCGGCCGAGGCTGCTTCCTCTCCTTGCTCGGGCAGTTTTTCGGCGGTCGTCGTCCCGGAGTACTAGCTGCCACCGTTGTATGTTTCATGTTCGTTTGGTTTTGTCTTGATGTTGTACACCTGTTTCTAGTTAGTCTTCATTAGTGTCCTATTTAGTTCTCGTTGTGTGTGTCAGGTGTTGTGTGTGATTACGCTTCTGTTGTGTTCTGTGCTACGTGTTTCCCTCCGTTGTTTGGAGAGGTTTTTCGCACATGTTAGTGCGCCTTTTGTTTGACGCCTGTGTGCGTCTTTATTTCGCCTCCGGGCTTGTTGGGCTCGTGTACTACGTGAATATTTCACTAAAGTCTTTTGGACTTAGTTTCTGCGTCCTGCGCTTGATTCCTGCACCACACCCACCTTCAGCACCCGTTGACATTGACAGGCTTGACTCTCTGTCAGGTTTATCCTCCATTATTAAATTGTTCAAGCCACCTGGGAATGTGGGTGAAGGAGTCTTATGGTAACTTGCACTATCTGTATCCCCCATAACAAAGTCACCCCCGACCTAGGTTGCCTCCGTTTGAAGTCTCAGGGGATATTATTGTTTTTCTAGGACTAATAAGATAGGATACAGGGTAGGGCATCTTAGCTCCTGCTCCCACACAGAGAATGTCACAACTAAAGAGACCATGACTATCTCTCCTCATGTTGCAGCCAGAGGATTTTAGGACCCAAAACCAGGCCCGTGCTGGCATCTGATGGTTGTATGGTGATAACAGATTGTGAACTCGCCTACATACGCAAACAATCAAATGTGTCAGAGACTGGTGAGTTGTCACGTAGAAAGTGGGACCTCCTCCCGGGATCCTTTGATGAAAGGATATATATTGATGGGATGGGAGTACCTCGAGGGGTTCCAGAAGAATTCAAAGCTAGGAATCAGATCGCAGCTGGGTTTGAATCAAGTATTTTCTGGTGGTCACAAATTAAAAAGCGTAGATTGGATGAATTATATTTATTATAACCAGCGAAGATTTATAAACCACACTCGTGATGCAATAAAGGGATTAGCTGAGCAGACAGTGGTAACTAGCTTAATGACATGGCAGAATAGAATAGCTTTAGATATGCTTTTGGCTGAGCGGGCGGAGTTTGTGTTCTTTGGATCTATGTGCTGTACTTTCATCCCCAAACAATACAGCACCGGATGGGTCCGTGACCAAAGCACTTCAGGGACTAACCACGCTGGCTAACGAACTGGCTGAGAACTCTCGTATTGATAGCTCCATAAACGGTTGGTTTGATAACATATTTGGTAAATGGAAAACTATTGTTGAACTATTCTGGGTGAGTTATAGCTTCTATGGGTTATACTGTTCTTTGTGGATGTTGTCTTATTCCCTGTGTCTGAGGGTGGTGAGAAAAGGAGATGGAGAGGTGTTAAAAAAAGGGGAAAAATTTGGGCTCAGACCCA